CTTATGGGCACACTTCTTACAGACGAAACGAGTCTGCACTTGAGACCCCCTCAGAGTGGGACACTCCTTGGACTGGTGCACACACTCACCACGTGAGGTCATATAGACTTGCAAACGGGTTTTCTGCTTCCCCGCTCGCTTCGTGGCAACGGAGAGCAGATACTCTTCTTCGCTAAGCTGGGGTGAACCAAGTTCCACCACAGGCTCCGATGAACACAACTCCGGGCTTATCTTCACCTGAACCGTCTGGCTCAGACTTGCGTGGGGACACACCAAAGTCCACAGCATCCTGCAGACTACTGCAATTATCAACCCAGCTATGCATCCCCAGATGAAGCTACCATCCAGAACTCCTTCAGTGTCATTGGAAACGGTACGCAGCGCAACCGAACATGCCTCGTCAGCGGCTGACACTCCTGTGGCTTGGCCAATAGTCTGGCTTGCAACCACAGCTGTCAGCACTCCAGCTGTCCCTGTGCTAGTACCTACTCTTCTTGGACTGCTTCTTGGGGATGCGTTGGGGAGTTCCGGAGATTGTGCATTTCTTTGGTAGCCACCGGAGCTATCCGACGACCGTTCCCTGACAGTGTACTCCCCCGAGCTCGTTGTTGCACCTTCCAGCTCCGAATCTTCAGAAGACGAAAGCTGGTTTGCCGGCTGATTCGGGACCTGAACTATCCAAGCTTCATCATCTACATATCGTGCAATCAGCTCTGGTGGTGGCTGAACGGTTGGAGCCCGACCTTCAAGCTCTACCGATCTTACTTCTTCACTCTGCATGTAGGCCCCGCGGACATCGGGGTGATGCAGTTGAGCAGTCGCCTGCTCGTCGGTGGAGGCCGACCGAGGATCTCCCCCAGTTTCCCTGGCTCTCAGTCTGTAATTTTCGGCGCGGGCCGCTTGCAGCTCCTCTACGTACCTGTCTATTTCCACGCTACGCTCGCGCAGCAGACTGCGCAGGTATGTACATCGGTCAACGTACTCTTGACCAAACCGCTCGCTTTCATACAGCTGTTCCCTCAACCGGCGTTCGCCCTCCAGCTCCTGAGGGTACGCTGCAATCAAGTCCTCATAAGTAGGCCGGTAGGCCTCAGCCTCCTGCCCTACAGCCGGAAACGCATCTTCATATGTTGTGACTCCTCCTTCCTCACCTACATCACCGGATCTCAGCCTCCCCGTCCCTGGTTCCTCAGTGCCTGAGCCCAGCAACGGCTCTCTCATTGCCTGAGGATTACTTTTCGGGAACTCTCCATCAGATCTTGGCGAATGGATAGGGCCTGAGCTCTTTACTTGGTAAACTGGTTTACACCATCGGTCTATGATCCATTTTGCGGCTGCTACTCCTAGGAACCCTCCTAAACCTATGCAAAAGCTGGCCACAGTGAGCTCCCCAAACCTGATCAGCTCTGGGACTGAGGACAAACCTCGCGAGGCTTCCACCGGAACAGCTTGTGCAGCGACCAGTACCGTTAGCAGAATCTTTAGAACAATAGCTTGGGCCACCCGCGGTACCTCTCTGGTGCTCGACGCCCCTCCAAGCCTGGTAGACTCTCGCACATTTAGTAACTCAACTAGATCATCAAACCGTGCTGGGCCTAAAACCTTTGTTCCAATATCTGCCGGCATGTACAGGCCTGACAAGTGAACCACTTTCCACCCCAGGTCCTCCACAGCCTGACGCAGCGTTGCACCACGTAGTCGGAGATGACGTGTCCGCCATGCCCCAGCATCGAGCTGGGTAAGCTGGATTGCTGCTGCATTGTCACCATACAGCACTTTGGTGCAAACTTCTGCGTCATCAGAACTTCCAGACCCACTGCTGTAACCTCGACACAAAGCTTCTATGGTGGGCAAGAAGGCTCTGCCCATTGAGTACCCTTCCACCATGCTGATCAGCTCTGCTTCGGCTGTTGATGCTGCAATCAAGCTCTGGCGACTTCCCGCCCACATCACCAAGCAGCCTCCCCAAAACATCATAGCGCTTTGGAAAGATTTGCAGCTCTCATCCGGACAGAACGATGCATCTGTGAAGATCTCAACAAGGGTAGCCTCTCTCTTGAACTGCAGCTCATTCCACACTCCATAGTTCTGAGGTGCCGGGCCATATTGAAGACTGTAAGACATTGTTTTCTTCAGATACTGCATGACAACCAGCCCGGCATCACAGGCTGCAGCAGGATCCACTGAAATCTGATGGCAAACAGCCTGCACTGCGTAGCACACATCTGGTCTCGTATGCGTTGAGACCCATAGGAGCTG